ACCGAAGTGGAAGAGCTGGCAAAGTGACCAGGAAAAATATGTCACCCTTCCCATCCACCACTACCTGTGTTAAAAGAAGGGGGGTGGTGGGGTGCGAGAAGGGGCAGCCCAATGCTCAGTCAGCCGTGCTCCTGCAACAGGAAACTGGGGCCATGACTAACACGACATGATGAGGAAAATAACTGAAGCACTCAACAATGAGACGTAGCCAACAGTGTCAGTGAGCTGCAGTTTACATGAAGTGAAGCTGAATTTCTTGAACTAGTTATGAAGTTAAACATAAAAGATCATTTATGGCTTTTCTGTTGCATTAATCAGGAAAATTGTGGAATCATGAAACTAAAGAAACTTGTCTTTATTTAAGAGAAGACTTGAACTTAATTATAATCCAAATGGAAAAACTGAATAAATTAATAATTAACTGAGCTAAAACTCCCGCGGTCTGTCTGGGAGTGAATCTGGAGTTTTATTGAGGGGCAACAGGAAAGGGAAAGGATGTGCTGAATAGCAAAAAAAAAGGAGAAGGAGTCTTGCAACACAGAAAGTGGCACAATGTTTGTTTTAGTAATTGATAAAATAGCTGAAATTATAACTGTAGTGGTGTTTTCATTTTCCCAAAGTCTGTGTGATTAAGTGGAATAATTATGAGCTTATCAGCTGCTACTTTTGGCTGCTCCTAAAGCCTGTGACTATGGGAGAAATACCTGCAGGTGAGCAACAGAGGTAACTACCAATGAAAGCAAAGAATACTGTTGATTGGCATATGATCTGCTCGTTAAATACGTGAAAGTCATTCTACATCAAGGGCCACATACTGCCCACTTTCTTAAGTGGGTCAGATCAGTGAAAGTGGAAAATATGTGCCCACATTTTCCAAACCTGTCAAGTGGGCGGATTTGGCGTCTTTGCTGACTCAATTCTGGGCTTTATGTTTGACACCCCTATATTAGAGTGTTACCTGGGCAACCAGAGGTTTGGCTGTCCGTTGACGACAAGCTAGCAGCTTCGAGCAAATCGCTTCCAGTGTGTTTATTTCGATCCCAATTACAAATCGATTTGTGTCTCCTCCTGGGGTCAAACTAGGAATCTTTCACGTGTTTAAATATGTAAACAACTTCTAATCAGTCTGATGAGTTCAGTACACCAATAAAAGGCCAGTAGAGGAAGGAGATCAGTCAAACAGTACACTTCTTCTTTATATGACAAATGCTGGATTAATAATAGATAATCAGTAATAGAAAAACTGCATACTTTCCAGTTTCCATCTGTTGGTCAGGAGAAACAAGTAATGTTTAGCTGTCCCCTTTGTATCCATTTAATGGGTGTTTTCCACATTATAAGGGTGTAACTTAAAGAAAAGGCGCTTATTTATTTCTCAGAGAAACTCTTTTTCTGCTCTGATATTAAAGTATTTCATGTGAGCTCTTATCAGAAACGTTAAAACCAAACACAGCTCCAAACACAGATAAGGACATGCTAAAAAATTTATGAACCGCACAGTTGTTTTACTGCTTCTGCTTCTCTTTCTGTAAAACTCTATCAACATTAATGGCTAAGTAGGGTTTAGGCTGTAAATTTTAAAGATAGTCATGACAAGGAGGCATTACACATGGTTTTGGCTCTCTAAGCTAAGGAGGGAATCCTTTTCAAATAACTGGCTGGGAGCAGCAGGGTGGGGATGGGAGTGGGGATGAAGTGGTTACGAGGTTTTGGCATTCACAGCTGCAGTTGTTGGGAGGGGAGTTACTGTAGATCTGCAGGGGGACACCGGAGATAGAGTGCTTTGGGGCGCCCCCGCTGCTCAGCACTTACGACTGACTCATGACTCACGTCCCACAGATATTCATTCAAACCTCTTTACACTCTCTCTTTCTGCCACTCCCTGAACTTTGCATCAGAAATATTCAGCTATGTACTGTCTGAGGAGAAAGTGCTGCCCTCGACTAAGCACATGTGGAGTGAGAGATTTGCTTAGTTGTTGCTCTGCCTTTTCCTCTCCTGTGAGGGCCTCTTGACTTCTATGCATGTTGTATTTGCTCTGTTATATGCATGGTAAGAAACACACAGGAAGGCTTCCGCATAGGGGGAAATCATCCAATTCTCCAAATTATGTATCCGATTACAGTTGCCCTCCTATATACATAGCCAGGGATGTATAGTGGGTGCGTGTATAGCCAGTCTATAGACCACATAAGGGCAAAATATGGCCTGAGGGCTGGGAGAGGCTCACAAACCATCTCAGTCCAGCCCATGACATCCTCAAGGGAAAACAAGAAAAAACACCCCCAAATCATTAAGAGGCAGCATTATACTAAGAAATGAGAGTCCTGCAACTCAGACATGTTTTCACTGATGTAAGATAATGTAAGTGTTCTAATAGCACTTTAATTTTATGTTAGTTACGGGTGAGGTGCTTGGCCATTGAGGATGGGCTTGGAGTAGAGGTGTTGCTCCTTCACACTGAAAGGAGCAAGTTGAGGTGATATTCACAATCTCTAACTAGAATGCCTTGTTGATGACATGATTCAGACATGTCAGGCTGGGAGGAGACCCCAGCAAGAGCTCAAAATGCCGCTGACATCCTGAAATATGTACAAAAGCAGCCGTACCACCAGCTCATCATCGCTTGATGTCAACATTTTCCACAAAAACACAGCATGTTCGGTTTGTAAATTTGTTGCACGATAAGTTCAAACCTGGGAAATTCTGATTTTCATGTCGCTTTTTTACAACACTCGGTGTGTAATGCCCTTAATATTCCCGCTCAAACTCTGATAGGTGCATCAGGGGTTAAGCATCTACCTGAGGATACTTCACTGTGCAGATTGGAGGGATCAAGCCACCTAACTTCTGATTGGCAGGCCCCTGATAATTGCCACCCATATAACAATAATTAAAAAAGACTAGAAGTAACAGTGGAACTAATGAAAACGAAACTTTTTGAAACAGTAAAAACTGAACTGAGACAAATAAACCCACTCTCGAAACTAACTCAAACTAAACTGGAAGAAACAAAGAAAGATTCAAAATGAAATAAAAATTAAAAATGATGAAGAATTACAAAACTTTTTAGCTCAGTTATTCAGAGTTTACCTCTTTGCTTGCTCATCCCTGCTTATGGATACAGATTTTAGGAAGAACAATATCGCTGTACTTGAAAGAGATGCTCATTTATGAAAGATCAACATTCCTACTCTCACTAGTAGTGAGATATAGGAGAAATGCTCTGTTATTAAAGCTCTTGGAACTTTAATAATAGAGAAGTGATCATATTTTAACATAACAAATTTATTAGTAAAATGTGCAGAAATGACTCTACTGCAGCTGTTCATGAGGGAATCTCCCACATCAGCAGATATTTCCTTCAAAATGACTCAGAAAGGCATATTTTTAGAAAACCTATTTACTTTTAAAAGAGCAACAGAAGTAGCAGCATGCTCCTTTAGTCTCTGTTGGGTCCGTTTGGGTTGTTGTTTTTTTACATCTTAAACCAAATTACTTTTAAAGGGATTTTAGTTTAAAAGATAATTGATAAAAATAAAATCATGAAAGCTCAGCTGAAGCTGCAGCTTGCTCCTAACATGTTAAATATTTTTTGTAAGATGGTCATATCCTCAGTCAGAACATCTTTAAGTGGTAACATTCTGATAAAGCCAACCTCCTAAAAGTTTTTCTGTTCGGCTCATGGAAACAAATACGCACAAACAATGTAAACAACCTGTTGTTTTCTCAGCCAGCGTCATGTCTACATTCTGTTGTATTCTCTTTTTTCACTGGGCTGTTTTCTTTAGAGTAACGCATTGGACTAGAGCAGGGCGATATGACCAAAAATATTTATCACGATATACATTTGAAAATTTACAATAACGATATAACTGACGATATAATTGACACTAGACAAAATACTTTACAACTCCACAACCTTATTAGTGCAAAAAACCCATCAATGTATTTTCACTTAAACAAGCAGCTGTTTTTTATGTGCATTACAGTTATATAAAAATTTAACAAATGCAAATTCCTTGCTGACAGTTGTTTAGCCATTTCCAGTGGAAATTGGCCGACAGATCCTCAGCATAACCATGTATAATATCCACAAAACTTAAAAAGAGGTTATACACACACAATACGGTAATATTATGTTGAAGCACAGTACGTATCACTCCGCGAGGCTCCTGCCTACGATAGCCGTAATGCTCCGACAATCCATCAAGCGGTGCGGGTTCGTAGCTTAGCAAAGTCCCACTAAAACATTTGACAGATTTTCGAGCGCCGTGTACGACATAAAATCATTTCGAGGTCAGTAAACACAACCAGAATTCATACATAAGGCGCACGGGATTATAAGGGGCGCTGACGATTTTCAGAAAAATCAAAGGATTGATTTTAAGTGTGCCGTATTTTCCGAAAAACACGGTAATAACGACGGCCCGCTAGCATGCTCTACCAAAAATAGTGCTTTGTTGTGTATCTGATGGATGAAAGCTAAACCAGTTCCACACCACTGTAGTTGCAGCATTTTTACAAACCAATTCTGGTTCATCCGTTTCATTCAACGATCCACTTTCGCCCTTCTCATTCTGCGTCGCCGCCATGCTTTTTCCACCATGTGTGTATGAAAACAAAGGCACTGCGCATGCCCATATTCTATCGCGATATTTCATTTTCTTATTGTTGCCCAACATTATACCGGTATTACCGTGAACGGTATGATATGGCCCAGCCCTACATTGAACATACTGTAGGAGCCGTGGTTAAAACTGGCTCCACTGCCCAGCAGCTTCTCTTCAAATAGATTTCCACCAGGATTGTGATGGGATATTATTTCAAAAATATAGGTGTGACCTGCGAGTTTTAGCAACCATCCAGCTGTCTTTTCTTCACCTATTTTTACACCAACAAACTTTAGGGTTTGCGGGTCTAAATGATAGCTATTGTATTGTAGCTTGGGTTACACGCTGTTTGAAAGTGTTGACTCCGTTTGTGTCCGTGTGCTTCAGGATGTTGTCGGAGCTCAGTGAGTGGTTCTGGCAGGAGCGGCGGTGGTTTCCGGAGGGCCTGGGCTGGGCTGACCTGGAGGATCGGGATGGACGAGTGTACGCCAAGGCCCGCGACTTGTGGGTGGCGCTGCCCATTGCCCTCATATTCCTCATTATCCGTCAGATCTTTGAAAGGTCGGTCCATTTTTCACTCTGTCTTATTCTATCTCAGACATTTACCTTTAATGCGTTTATGCATTTCTTTATGTCTTTAATCTCTCCTGACTTTGTATTCAGTTAGTTTATGCTTTTTTCCCCCTCAGTAGTTACTTAATCCTTCTTTTGTTGTGCCCAGATCTATGATGATTAAATTCCCATTGTTTCTTCAGCTGTTATTGTTTTCCACATAAGTGTGCAAACAGCGTTCCTGTTTCCAGGAGCTAATCAGCGTTCATCTGTGTTTCCCTGCTAATGCCAGGAGACTCTGTTCCTCATTGTTTTTCATGTCTACCTCCTATTCAGCCACAGAACTGTCAGAATATACAATAAAAGAAACAGTGTAATCAAGACAACACATTTACAAAAATAAATAAATAATAATAATAATAATAAAAAATAAATATATATATATATATATAGCTTGAATATCGGATTATATAATATTTAATAATCACACCTATGCTTCCTTTCTTTGTCACTGTTTTTTAATCCCAACATGTCACAATTGCAGGATGGTGGCCACGCCTCTGGCCTCGCTGCTCGGGGTTGAAGACACGGTGCGGCTCAAGGTCCCACACAGCCCCACACTGGAGTCCTACTACTGTAACATTACCAAAAACCCCACACAGGTAGATACCTCTGGCCTTCTATTGCAACATCATAAAGGCTCTAATGCAGCTCTCGACTGAGTCACTGGAAAATAATCAAATCTGACCTCTTTGTGCTGTTCTCAGTCTTCAGTAGCAAGTCTTTGCAAGAAGACTGGCTACTCAGAAAGACAAGTGCAGCGATGGTTCAGGAGACGAAGGAACCAGGACAGACCGAGTCTGCTCAAAAAGTTTCGTGAGGCCAGGTATGCATCCGTGCTCTTCTAAACATATATGACTGCTGTAGAGTCCAGAGAGTGTTCCTCTGGCAATATGAGCACATTTCTGAGGGCAAAAGTAGCCCTCTATTTCTGCACTCATTGCAATGTTGCCCCTGCTCTCCACACGCACACACTCACACATCCAACCATGCTTATTAGCACAGGGCCTTTGCAGCTGGGGCTCTGTCACCACTGTTGGTTATTTTTATTTGTAAGCCAACATTTACTGTAACAGAAGCCGAGTTAAACCAACAGCCTGATTACAAGGCTATTGAGGCCAGCTACTACCAGCTGACAGGATTCACAGATACGTACAGTACAATAGACAGCAGATAACATGATACCGATACTAGTACTGACAGCATGCAGATATACTGTCCACTGATATGGATGCATAGAAATCCTATGATTATATTATCCCATGTGTCCTGTTTGTAAGTCTTTCATGATCTGTTGGCTTGGGTGTTGTTTATGTTTGATGCAGATCTGTGAAAGCTTTTAACTCAAAAGATCAGTTTACCATTTTTACCCAGAAAACGGTGGACACGCTGTGTACAGTGGATGAAAAAGTCACTGTAATAAAGAGTGAGACAGAAATACAGTTTGTACCCACCACAGGGTCTCTGTAGCTTCTCTGGAGCCTCTGATTGCATCACTCATGAGATGGAGTTGTAGGGGAAGTATTACAGCTTTGTTTTTTCCTACAAAGCTCAAAAGACATGACATTTTTCAGTGCACGCTCACCCTGGAAACCCTTTTCAAACCCGGTTCTCTCACACCCTTTATTTCCGTCAGTTCTTGGTAAAGACATAAATGACATTAATGATGGCACTTCCTGCAGAGATGTTGCTGATAAATATGAAAATTACAAAACTGTAAGTGTAAAATCAGGAGGCTCCGATATTAGGGCTGTGCGATATGACCAAAATCTCATATCCCGATATAAGAATTCTATCGTCCAGATAACAATATAAATCACAAAAATGTAACATTTTCTGTAAATTCTGTGAATCTCGGGCAGCTCGTGTTGCGTGAAGTGTTTCCAGCTGCGCGTCATGTAGCTGGAGTCGAGTGTTTTAACCGATGCATGAAACTATACATTTTTAGACATAAGTTGCCGCTGCCGTTTTCTTTATGAGTATTTATTACACGGCGTGCTGCTGGGAAAAGCCTGTTCTAACGTTTATTTTTTAGCACCTGGCGGCTCTTTTTTTAAATTCTCATCCGTAAATAATCTGCTCGTTCACGTGATTCAGTTTATTTTGAAAAGTCACAACAGGATCTTGAGCTTTATTGTGAAAGGTTTATGTGGAACATAAACAAGCAGACACGCGATGCTGTTACCGTCGTTGTTGCTAACCACAACGCATAAAAACAGGCGCTTGTCCGTCCGTAGTGTGATTATATAAAATATAAGAGAAAGAGAGAACTTTAAGAAATTAATATAGCCACTACAGTGACCATCAAAACGATGAAAAAACAGTTTATTTTGCGACACCACGAAACAAACGACAGCGTAAAATGAAACGATAGACGTTTTTATATCGTCATGCGATATATATCGTTATATCGAACAGCCCTAACCGACATGTTTGCCAAGTATTCGGATGGGTTGAAGTTGAACCTGTTTGTTCCCTGAAGAAACTCATTTGTTTCATTACATTTGCATTACTTAGCCGTACGTCATGCGTTAGCAACATAAAGTTTAAGCTGTAGTCAAAGTCTCTTCCACTCAAATCTTTAATGAAGTCACACGCATGATCTGTATTTTACTGTTTAAGTATTAGCTCAAAGAAACAATAGAACACCTGCCTGAAGCCGCTGGAAATGGAGTCTGCAGTGCTTTAAGCCTGACTGCTCATCAGCATTTTTGTTACTTGTTCAAAATCAGGCTTTGGCTGCTTGGCTGGAGTCACCATACACTCAGCTTTAACCTCACTCTTTCTTTGCCGCTTTAGCTTTGGTTTAGCTTATTGCACATGTTTTCAGGAGTTGATGTCACATTAAGAGCAGTTGTTTCTGGGCGGGCTGTGCTTTACACTTTAGCGGCACATTTTTGTCCTTTGGTGCCAGAAAAATGAAAATAATAGTTTTCTGTATCCCACCTCCCTTCACATGAACTGAAGTGATCGGATTTAAGTGGAAGTGCAGAAAACAGCATGTTTTATGATTTTTTTTTTCTTTGTGTCTGCCTATCACACACATCATTAAAGAGCTTTTGTAACACAAATTCGATTAGTAACTGTGATGTGATGCTGAATTTGTGTGTGTCACAACAGCTTTAAGTGGGCTAAATGCTCAAAAATAGCTTAAAATAGCTTTTGAAGTGATTTTGTTTTCCTGGTACACATGATGGGAAAAATAACTACAAAAACCAAACAAATAAAGCAAATAATATTATAGATGTCAGGTATGGGCCAAGCATTTACATTATTTCAGCCAATTTACAGTGATGTGTGTGCATATGTGATGTGTGGGTGTGTATGTGTGGGTGTGTGCAGGCGTGCATGTGACTGCATGCTTGTCGCTCTCTGGTCATGGTGTGTCTTTCACTATGCGGGCTACAGCGTAAAGGCATTTTTCTTGTGAATCGATGTATTGTGGATGTGCACACAACAGGCTTTCTGTATCTCTCCCTTATTCCCCCCACTGGGGTATCTCCCACACTCCCACTCCTTCTCTGTATCTGTGTCTCTGCTGCAGCGTTTTCTGTAGCGTCTTCTCATTACACCTGTATGAGCAGTGACAATGACTTATCACTGTCTCCAGTACAGGGTGTTGTCTAGTGGCTCTCATTGTCTGTTAGCACATATTTGACTGTGTCTGTGTCTCTGTGTGTGCATTTGTGTGTTCCCGCGTGTGTGTGTGTTGTGTTTGACATTATCAGCAGATTTTCCAGGCAGTTCACGCAGCCTGGCATCTCTCTTTAACTTGTGTGTTTGTGACTGTAAGCGAGAATTTGTGTGTGTGTGTGTGAGTGAGATGCATTTATGTGTCTGCTGGTAGAAAATGTGCCTACTGTCTTTCCTCATTGACTGAGTAGAAAGTGTGTTTGTATGTGTGTGTGTTCTCTTGCAGTTGGAGATTTACCTTTTACCTTCTTGCTTTCATTGCTGGCCTGGCCGCCCTCATCGATGTGAGTACTGCCATGTTAACCTCGACCACTCCTCTTCCTCCTCTCATGCTTTTATGTATATTCATGACCTGTCCAGCCTTTTCCTTTGCCGTGATAACCTCACCTCTCGCGCTGTCAGAGGGGGAAGCATTGACTCATCCTTGTGCTGAGTCAGTTGTTATAAATACACCTGTCGTGTTTTGCTGTCTCATTCCCATCCTGCATGTCCTTCCAGAAACCTTGGCTGTATGACCTGAAGGAGATGTGGCAAGGCTTTCCTGTGCTGGTACGTCTCTAGAATCACTAAGTACAATAAATGCCCTGCGTATCTGTTCATTAAATTAAGCTCCAGAACAAAAAGGTCCTGGAAGGTAATAAACTTTCTCCCTGCCTGTCCTGAAATGATGGAAGCAACATGTCTAGAGTAGCTTTTCTTCGTTTCGGTTTCACTTTAGATTTGATTAGTTATAGTGTTAATTTTAGTGTCTTTAATGGGTGACATTTGACATGGTCAGATTTAAGGACTTTAAAGCAGGTGTTTTAACATAAACACTTCTCTCACAGTCTCACTGACGATCCCAGACTCTGTGAATATCTGTGCCAAAAGATCCTCAGGCTTTTTATTTTGGTTTAGTAAACTATACTCCCTCGGTTGGGATGCGTGACACATATAGATTCAGCTGATACTGGATTGGAGCCTCTTTTGTCTTTAGAATTGCCTTAATTTTTCTTAGCCTGAATTCACCAAGATGCTGGAGGCATTCCTCAGAGATTTTGGTCTATATTGACATAATATCTTCACACAGTTGCTGTGACAATCATGCAGCTTGGATGTGTTAACTGGCACTCTCTGAAGTTAAACCAGACATTAGTCATTTTTAAATTTACACCAAAATCAATTTCATCAGAGAACATTTAGAAGGTTAATCTGTAATATAGGAAAAAGTACAGCCCCACTTCCCAGTAGTGATTTGCACAAACTGTTATATTGACTTTAAAATTAACGATCTGTATCCTCCCCTTCAGACTCTCTTGCCGTCCCAATATTGGTACTATATGATTGAACTGGGTTTCTATGGATCTCTACTCTTCAGCGTCGCCTCTGATGTCAAACGCAAAGTAAGTGAATTTATCTCAAGAACACAAAGATTTTCTTTATTTAGGAGTACAAAGGATTTGAACAGGAAAAGGAGGAAAAGACATTTGTCTTTCCTCCCAACCATCCATCCATCAATTTTTTGCTGCTTGTCCAGTCTGGATGACAGAGTCAGCAGCTTAAGCAGAGATATCCAGACCGTTTGCCCCCCAGCCACCTCCTCCAGTTCTTCCAGTGGAGCACAAAGACATTGCTAAGCGAGCCAAGGTTTGCCCTGGAGCCCCCTCCAGGTGGGACATGACCAGAATACCTCACATAGATGGTGCCCAGGAGGTATCCTATTCAGATGGAACCACCTCAACTGGCGCTTTTCAGTATGGGGGAGTAGCGACTGTTCTTTGAGCTCCTTACCCTACCTTTAAGGGAGAGCCCAGCCACCCTTCGGAGGGAGCTCATTCTCATTATTTTGGTCACTACCCAGAGGTCGTGACCATTGGTGACTGACTAGTAAATACACAGCTTCGTGTTCATGTTCAGCTCCTTCTGCTGTGTACAGCATTCGCACATCACTGCAATCTCCTGCACCACTCTTCCCTCACTTGTGAACAAGACCCTGATACACTTAAACTCCTCTATCTGAGGCAGTAACTCAGTCCTGTCCTGGAGTGGGTGCTCCACGCTTTTCCAATTGAGAACTTTGGGAACACATCAGACTTTGAAGTGCTAATTCTCATCCCATATGCTTCACACTCACGCTCAAACATTCCTCCAGAATCCTAAGGTTGACTGACAGATAGACTCTCCTCTGTCAGTTAGTCTGTTAGTTTAGTGGAGTGTGACTCCCCTGAAGTTGGAACACTCTCCAGTCCCCCTTCTTAAAGAGGGGGTAAGACAGTAAGACAGTCCCAAATCAATGTCCCCAACTTCCATACAGTGCAGAGACGTATCAGCGACAACATTTCCACAACAGTTAGAACCTTGAGAAACTCAGAGAGAATCTCATCCCGTGGTCCATGAGACTAAGTCATACTGAACCCAGCTAAGCCCTATGATCTAAGGGCTAAGGGTGAGCCCATCGACCAGTCCTGCCTCCGGGGCTCCAGTAACCCCAATGCAGGTGAGGTAATGTGGCTCCATAAGCGTCTTGTGAATCACACTTGGCCTGAACTTTCACCTAGAGCCAATTTGCCTTGGCAGACCCTACTGGGGACAAATTTTGACAACGTGGCATTTAGGATCATTAGGGCAGACAAACCCCTTTACCATGATAAGGTGGTGGTTCAAGGAGAGGGGGCATGCAAAATGAGTATGTCATTTGTGCAGACACAGCCACTATTGAATCTGTGTGGATATAGCATCATAATTCTGCACACAAGGCTGACAAAGAGTCTTTCGTCACTCTTCTCTGATCAGTTTCACATCTGGCATGGACTGTGAGTGGACATTAGGCTGCTGTGACACGTGTGTGTGTGTTTCAGTGTGCCTTTGTGTGACATGTGTGCGTGTGTATTGTGCGCCTTTGAGTGTGTTTGGCTTGGACTTTGCTCAGCCTGGTCAGCTGAGCACAATGGGGTAAAAACTCTTGCCAAACTCTTTCACAGTGTGTTTCAGCAGCACAAAGTCTAACCCAGATAATGTTAAGCTGGATGTACTTGCATTCTCATGTACCTGGTTAAAAAATAGTGCACGGTTATATATATATATGTGTTCTGTTTCATGTACACGGCATTAATTCAAAAGCATCTTTACCCCCCCCACCACCACCATCTATCTCCCCCTCTCCAGGACTTCAAGGAGCAGATAGTTCACCATGTAGCAACAATCCTCCTCATCAGCTTCTCCTGGTGTGTTAACTACATCCGTTGTGGAACTCTCATCATGCTGGTGCACGACTCCTCCGATTACCTCCTCGAGGTAAAGCCTCACCTCATTTTATACACTGATGGAAAGCACGTGCCCAAAATCAACTAACCTGTAGCTCGACATATATTTACATCCTGTCATCCTGGAGATATTTTACTCCGTGAGGTGTGAGAACTGTGTTTGAATGTTGCACAGTTTGCACTGATGTCATTTATCCCTACCACCACTAAGCAGGATGTTTTGGCCTTTGAGTATTCTGATGTTTTTACACTGATCACATACTGCCCCCTGTGGAGGAAAGTGCAATTTAAATATTATTTGTGGGATATAAACACTTTAGACTTTCATTAATTAGCATGGTTTTTATCAGGTAATAGAAATATTTGTAACCTGTTGCTTTTTTTTCTTTTTCTGTTTTTTTATTCGGGTCATTCCCTTAAGCATTAAATGTATTTTAGTTTGTCAAAGGACCATAAATAGCAGGAATGTGATACTGACTCTTTGCCAAAGACTGTATAAGTGGTGAACATAGATGCCATGAAGTCACCCACTGTTAGCAAAGTCCAGTTAAAAGTTAGGAAGATTTTATCTGAGTGTTTGCCAGACGCAACGAGCGAGGGATGGAGCTTACTGTGAAAATGGGGGACAGAGCACACAAATCATTAGCCAATAATCTGACACATAATTTATAAAATGAACTTCATGCTTTATTCAGCATGGTTTGAAGTTACTGGCCGAGACCATAAAACCACCAGAAAAGTGTCACTGAGGTCACAGAGGAAGAAATCTGAAGACCAGAAGTCTTTTTGTAATCACAGGATCGCCCCCTGCTGGCCTTTAAAGAGAATGCGTGTTTAAGGCGCTTTCACTTTAGCCTCTGAATCTTTTACAGATGCATTGGCTAAGTTCCTCCTTTATACCACGAATACTCTTTGGTTTTATTACATGCGGGTCATTCATGCAGTCAAGCCCAAGAGGACCCATTTACAAACAGAAAAAGCTATGAATGAAGTTTAAATGCTTTTTTTCCCCCAGAAACTTTCCCCTTTTGATAATTTATTTTTATCTTTTCCACTAACAGTCTGCAAAGATGTTCAACTATGCTGGGTGGAGAAATGCCTGTAACTACATTTTCATTGTATTTGCTGCAGTCTTCATTGTCACCCGCCTTGTTATCTTCCCCTTCTGGTAAGCACACACACATACATATACACAGATTTGAGACAGTCATTTTGACTGCTGCAGTATACCACTGTTTGTCGTGCTTCACTCTCCTTAATCCTCGCCGTTTCTCTTGCAGGATTATTTACTGCACGTGGGTGTATCCAGTCACCATCTATAAGCCATTCTTCGGCTACTACTTTTTCAATGGGCTGCTGATGACTCTGCAGTGTCTACATATCTTCTGGGCCATTCTCATTATACGCATAGCAATCCGATTCCTCACCAACAATGTAAGCAAACCAAAAGAGATCAATTAGGTCAAACAGGAAAAACTAAATAATGCTGCAAAACATTTATTTCTGTGAGTCAAATTTGCACATACTCTCTTCTGAAAAGCTGCAAATCAAAAATGAATAAGGCGTTTGAAAGTCTGAGTTTGTTCTGACACTCTGCAGAGCTCCAGGAGAGCATGAGCAGGAGGTCTCCCCGATTAATGATGATGTTTATATATTTTCATGAGCTTTTCCTCGTGTTCTTCAGGAAAAAGTGGATGATGAAAGAAGCGACAAAGATGAAACAGACGAATCAGAAGAGGAGGGCGACGAGGAGGCAGGAGAGAAAAAGCATATGAAGAAAAATGGCCCGGTGCAGAATGGTCACACAGTCCACAACAACAACCACCGCAAGAGGCAGTGAAATTAAAGTCACGGGATGGAGAAACATGAGAAGGACTTATATCCCTCAGTAGAGGAGCAGGAGGGAGGGACCAGTGATTCCCTAAAACCCAGAACAGCGGGTATCTGAGGAAATTTGGCACTGTTACTTTTACACAACACACATTCATGTTTTTTTAGAGGGCACAGAGATCCAGCAGATGACATACACTACATTAAGTGGCACGGCTCTTCGCTTTGTCATCAGAGGAAAAAAATGTATCACTGCCTTTTGTTTGATGTTAGTCCCAAACGTTTTCAATGAGACGGGGAAGAAAAAATGGAGAAGAGCAAAGTTTGGAGAAGACAGATGAGGGGGCGGAGGAGGTGATGCTGCTTCTACTTTAGCTTTCATGTTCTGACTGTGTGCCTTAGAGCCAGCTGACGGCTACGAAAAAGCCATTTTAAAGCCTTCTGCTTTGAAATTGAGTTGCTTTATTCTTTGTTTGCTTTTTACTAACAGAACAAAACAACTGAAAGTGGGTTATGTGAAGGTGACACAATAGGGCATTTATTTCCCTAGGTTTCTGTCTATGCAACTATCCGTTCAGCTATTGCAATGTCTTTGCACAAAAGTACAGAGTCTCTCATATAAAGTAATAACCTGCAGTAGGACTGTGCTCCTCTGCTCTCCGGTGTGGTTTGTGCCATTTGTAAAGTGTTCTGGTTTGAGTTTAGTAATCAGCAAGATTTTTTTTTAAAGGGGGGGCCTATCGTGCTGGTCCATATTTTCTGTCATAAACTTTTAATAATGGATGTTCACATTAAACATTAAACAAGTTTCAGATAATGAGGTCTGTGCATGTGCAGGCATTCCCTGTGAGCCAAAAGCTCAGACTTTGCATTACTCTAAATGCTCTATTTCAGGTAGTTTTTTCTACCCCTGCATCTGTGTGATGTCACAAAGAGAGGCTATCCCTAATATGGTAATCTTGGGCACACAGCTCTACCCACTTAGTGTTAAAATCTTTTGTTTACAAGAGGCAGCCAATCAGAAGAAAGCTGGCTCATACCTGATTTATGGCACTGTGTTAAAAGTGTGACCTAGCCAAGAACCTCAGAAACTGCAACACATCTGTTTGGCAGTGATACGCAGTGTAAACTTAGTATGCTGTTAGCACAAGGATAAAGCATTAGTTGAACAGCATCTAATAGGCCTTAATTGTATCTAGCTTGCCCCTTATATTATTACAAATATCTAGTATTGTGCCAGATTTATTAGCTCGGTTTTACTCATGTTGACAGTGACAGTGCCCGAGTATGAACGCGAGCATCACCCGCTGCAGTGGAGATTCAGCGCAGTACTATAAACCATGCTTCAAAGGGACCTGGCAGGGAGCTAAAACCGCTTCTTTCAAGATAACCCATGATTATTCTGAACTGTGAATCATGCAAAGCTCCTCTAGCAGAGTCCCAAGAATAAAAATATGGTGCTGGAAAAGAGCATAATATGTCCCCTTTTAACTTCTGTTCATTCCTAATCCACCAAGGCTCACTTTGTACAATTCCTGCTTCCAGTAGAGTCATCTCCAGAGTTCAACAGTTCTTTGGTGTTTAGGCTATAAAAGAGCCAGAAATGAATATAAACTCCGATAGAAAACTTGAACTAACTGCTAAATAACTTTTTCCTCTCTTCTTCAGCTCAAGCAGTTTTGCATTGACGATGCCACCCACTGAAGAGCGATGACTCAATGCGAATGGGCGTTGCTCTGTTGAAATGCTGGAGTTTCATTAAGTACAGTGGAGCAGGACGGTTTCGCAATTTCAGATTTCCCGAGGTCACTGCCCAATAGCCTGGGTTCTGATTGTTAACCCGGCTGCAAATTTAAAGTGTTGATCTGAGTAAATTTTTTAAGTATCATTCTGGGTATTAAATGTGTTTACAGGTATGTTCTTTGAAACTTTTATTTTGTTTTAGTTTTTAGATGAAATCATGAAATTAGTGTTACAGAGTTTTGTTGCTCTAAAGCTTTGTATGTCAAGTGCCTTATCTGTAATGTATGGGAAGCTCTCCTTGTCTTCATGCCCTCTCCTTTTCTTTCCTGTTTCCACCTCACATCATAGATCCAACCTGCTACATGCTCTCACGTCTTCTCTTCTTTATAAAATGCCTTCCTTTCAAACTCACCTTCATTCCACTACCACGTTCTTTTTAACTAACCCCCAACCAACCAGCAGCCTCTCTTCCCCAGTGATACAGAAGAAACAGCTGTGTCCTAATTACAGTGTTATTATTATTTTTTTTGTCTGTTTTTTTGTTTAATGATGCCTAAGTATTGTTATTAATGGTAAAATCAAAGATCATGAATCACAATGAAACCAAGTTGAATTTGTGGTTATTTTCGCATTCATCACGGCTAATCCTAAGTAAATCAGTCCTTTTATAATAAGAGTACATTATATATATAAGGGGGTCACACTCATTTTTAATTACATCGTGGACAATATAAATTCATTTTAAGTGGGCTGGACCAGTCAAACTTTCACCTAATAATCTATATTTACACACACAAGAAAAAGCTTTGAGCATAATAAAGCTACTACAGTTAGTCCCTGAGGTAAAAAAAAAAAAAAAAGTTAGTGCAATAGACTCACTTTTACACATTAAAAATAAGTGCTGCGTTTAGAAAATCGAAGAAATCCACCACTGCTCTGTGACCAATTTGCCCAAAGATGTAAACATTTAAAGAAAATGCACCATCAGCTAACTGAACTACCTGAACTTTGTCTTATAATTTAAAAGCTTGCATTTTCTGATTATTTGCAGAAATGTTCTGTTTTTGCAGTGCAAACACTGTACAAACTAAAATGATATAATAAAATGGGTGATCAAGTCGTGCACTAGGTGGCGCTGTCACCTCATAATGACATCCTCAAGGGTTTATGCAGTTTAATATTAAGAAATTGAGACATTTTTTACTGTGCATTGTTGAGCACTGTGACTTTGCTAACAAATAAAGTAGTTGTATCCACTGCATGCATAAAACTTTATGTGCAATGGATGGTTTTAATTGTGGGGTATTGGAGCTTATGTATAACTATAACTAATCAACTTTCATTTGATTAGCAATGTATCCATATTTTACATTATTGTGTCACACATAAAACAGTAGTACCAAAGGGACTGCTCAGGTTAAGAAAGGCTGCGAAAAAGAGGAAGACTATGGAGAAGATTCGTGGATGTAGTGATGGAGGAGATGAAGATGTCTGGTAAGACAGAGTATACCTGGAAAAAGGTGAGAGGGAGGCAGATCATCTTCTGTGGTGACCCCCCTTAAGGAAGCAAAAAGAAGGACAAGTTGAAGCACTAAACAAACAATCCAACATTTAGAAACAGGTAGCAGGGTATAAACACAAAATGTATTAAATCGCCGTTTAATTCTTTGATCTAAGCATTTCTGGACTATTTCACGTCCTTCGAGTTGTTAAATTTGCCACCTTGAGGAGCAGGAGAGATGATTCCTATTCACAGCCGTGCAGTTAAAATATTGTGGGCGTTAGTGTGAACCACAAGTTTCAGTCGAACTGGTTATGCATCAAAACCCCTTCACATTTGCATCATGCACCTCTGTCTGGAAAGCGGTGGAGCTGCAGTTCCCTCCGCTGCCAGCAGGGTTTGAGGTAGTGACGTCATTGGTGTCGTTTACACGGTAGCTTTAGCCCTGCTAGCGAGAAAAACGCCATCTTAAGTTGACGGGGGGGTTTAAACGGAGTGAAAACAGGGAGACAGGCACTGAGGAGGTGAACCTGTTATTTTTTTATGATTAAAATTATCTGAGTCACCCGGACTAGTGTTAGTCATGGTTTGAGGGCCTGCATAAACGCAAAAGGAAAAAGGGCGAGAAAGTGAGGAAATCAGCAAGATACTAGCTACCCATTTAGCTACCTAGCGAACAGGCAAGGGGGAGGGCCGGGGTAGTTGAGGATTTTTTTTTTTTTTCGGGTGAAGCTGAAGTTTTTGTTTATGTTATTCCACGCGGAGATGTCTTCTTCAAATGCAGGTAAGGTCAACTTTAAGCCACAGGGACGTTGTAGTCACACCCCACACTGCAGCTGTTAACCAGTTATGAGGGATTTCTTGAGCGGAGCTTTAAGCTGACACTTTCCCAATGATAGCGTGACAGCGTCGGCTAACTTAGCTCCGTAGCATGGCTAGACTTGTTATTGCACAAACATGCTAACTAGCGCACATTAGTTAACGGTTATTGTGGCTCTCCTTTCATATTTTGCACCACTAAAAGAGTTAGGCTGAAAAGCCAAATCTGAGTTGAGCAAACTGTCAAGTTGCAATAGGCTGACGCTGTTCAAATGTTTCGTTTTTAGACAATTCTGTGCACAAGATTGTATCTGTATGCTACGTGTAGCTTTGAGGTTAGCCCCGAATCGTAACGAACACGAACCAAGAGCAGATGAGGTTAATTTTCTATAATGTGGCCTTGAAATCAGACACATGTACGCTGATGTTATTTTGAGCTCCGATTACAGGCTCCTGGCGGTGGTTGAGTTTGTTTTTCAGTGCTTCAGGCATAATAGGAAATCACTTGTCATCTTGTTTATTGCGCCTCTGTGTTGCCCTGTGTTATTAATAGAGTTACAAGACCCAGATCTGGGTATGGGGGCCAGTGGGACCCAAACAAGTGGTGGGGCTGTTGTACCAAAAGGGAGCAACAAAAGACGAGCTGCGTAAGTGTGTGTGTGTGGGTGTGAGAGAGATACTGTTAATTTTTGTGCTGATGTATCCATATTGTGCTATGCACATTTGCTGACTGGCTGACTTTTGTTTCTGATCGTCGTGGTTGAAAATTCTGGTGGGAAAAAAATGTGTGAAACTGTGTCAGATTGTCTTGTTTCTCCTCTCTCGCAGGCCAGACTTTGATGATGTTGATGGAGACAAGATAAGCAGGTATGTTTGTGTGAGTTAAGCTGGGCATCGAGGGTTTAAACTGGCTGCATTATAGTAAAAATCAATCTGGTTCTCTTCTTTCTCTTCAGGTTTGATGATGACACAGGAGGCTCCAGCAATGATAAAGAGCGCTTTGCCAGGTAGGAGGATGAATTTAGAGGAATGGACATATATAGCAAGGGAATATAGCAGAACATTAATATAGATGCAGGAGCAACCCCTATGCCTGTCTCCCCACTTCAGGGTTTTTTTTTTTGTTTTTTTTTTTTGAGGGGAGAGGTCATCTTGCACTTCTTTCGTTTCGGTAGTGACTTTGGGCCTGTTTTTTTTAGTGGGTTGGTTTCATTTCCAGGTTTTTGGAAGACGATCAGAGTTTTGCAGATAAGGAAAAACTAGCCAGGTATGGCCTGTACCACTGTGGAAGGCTCCCTCTCCTGCTTGTATTCATATTGATATTGAATGCAGTGATCAAATACTTTCCTATCCTGCTGGGATACCAGCGCATTATTGTTTCAACAGCACAAAATTACCCGTATATTTTGCTGCTTTGCGTCTGTTTTGGTGCCTTCAGAATGTTTTGCTTATTTTCCCAAAGAGGCTGGTTTCCCCTTTCAACCCACCACTATGTTATGTGTCACTAACTGCTACACTGTGCAAGTTAAGGATTTTTTTCACTCCAATAACCCCTTCCTCTTCAGCAACTATCCTTTCTGTCTGTTTTGTCCCCCTCTCCCCTCTCAGGTTAACTGAAGGGTCTTTCTCTTTCGGCACTTGCTCTCTTTTATCACACAAACTGGCCTTGAAAGACCAAACTCTTTTGCTTTCTCACGTTCATTTTTTAAATTTCTTTTTAGATCATTGACTTCACATTATTGTTTGATACGTTCATTACACGTCTCACCTTCTTGCACTCCCACTTCTTCTTCCTGATTGGCATCTTTACATTGCGACATAAACTCTAAACTATACTCGTTGTCCACCCGCCCATCTGTTTCCCCCATCTCGATCCCTCCTCTCCACCTCTGTCTCATTCATTTCCTCACTCCAGGGAGAACCACAGTGAGATTGAAAGGCGGAGGCGTAATAAGATGACTGCTTACATCACAGAATTATCTGACATGGTACCCACCTGCAGTGCACTAGCGCGGAAACCAGACAAACTAACCATCCTGCGAATGGCAGTTTCTCATATGAAGTCACTTAGAGGAAGCGGCAATACCAATGCAGATGGGTCGTACAAACCTTCATTTCTCACCGACCAGGTATGAGAAACGGAAGGAAGTTCAGATTTGAAATGCCTGCTAAAATTTAAAAAACCCTTACTATTCAGGGAAGGCAATACCTGTGACTATGTGACAGTATTACTTATGTAAGAGTTGTTAATATAAAGGTTTCACAGTCACAGTTAACCTCACACTGTGTAACACTGAAATCAATAGAAGTAAAGGATACTGAAAGTAACACCTTTTTAAACATGCTTGTTTTCTCACGTTGTGGCTGTTGGTTAGCTTTTACTTTCAGTAACTTTCCTTTTTAGGTAGTCGGTAAAGTTTAAATTAGTAATGTCAAAGGTTATGTTCATTTTTATTTTAACCATCGTTCATTTAGACACTTGTTTAATTTGTTAATTGTTCAAAAACCCAACTATTAATATGCCTTGTGTTCAAGTGAGCCGTGTACACTTGTATATTATGCAGAACTTGTGTGTGTTGTGTATGTATCTCTTACATTGTAAAGCTTAGTTGCATGCTGCATCAGCTTCCACACTGCTGTCAGTGGTAGAATCGGATTTGATTGGCTGTCGGTTGAAAAGTAAAACTTTTGTCACCTCTGCGCTGCAAGCAAACCAACAGACTCACAATACTGTTTTGCAGTGCATTATGTCATCTCATCAAAGGTGAATTAGAAATATGAAAGTTCACATCTGAAATGCATGCATGCAAGTGATGAAACTAGGGATGTGCACAATTAGATGACTAGATGTTTAAATATTGCTGATATCATTATAGTTGAAGAAATGATTTCAAGAGTTGTGTGGTGTTTTATTTAAGTTTTCTGAATTTGGTGGGCTTACCAACCCGGAGATTGGGACTAGAAATCTGACCCTGAACCACTGAAAAAGCATGGCATTAATACTGATACGCAAAGGGATAGGAAGACACAACAATCAGTGGGGTTTAAGATTTACATGTAAAGGTTAAACAGAGACAGAAACATCAAAGGTTTGGAATACAACAATGGGGTGACAAGATGAAAGACTAAGATATATACACGTGAAACAAATGGCTGATATTATCTGAGGGGCTAACGCTCCAGGGGTTAGGCAGCTGTGTTCTGGTTGCAGGGCTCATATCCAGCAGCAGTAATTTTTCACCTGAATGTGACACAAGTCAAGATTTTTCAGTATTTTTCAAGCAACAAAAAGTAAAACAGAAGTGCAAGCCAATCATGGTTTGATAGTTTCTGATGGCTTTAAAATGCGTATATAGTGGTAGTATGAACATTGTTTAACCTCATCCACTAGATTTCTGCTCAACAGTTTCTCTTGCCTCATATTTTCTTACTTTTAAACTTATTGGCTGTAAATGAAACCATCAGATTTCTACTCTACCAAGCCAATAGCCAGGTAGCCAATGTTTCTATATACTCTTCCCATAGAAGTGTTTACACTTCTAACACTTTTCTGCATTTTTACAAATACTTTAGATTGATACCTCCACAACTGATCTTTGACCTTCACTGCTCACTGTCTGTCTGTCTGTCTGTAGGAGCTTAAGCATCTTATTCTGGAGGCTGCTGATGGCTTCCTGTTTGTGGTGTCATGCGAGACGGGGCGCATTGTTTATGTCTCTGACTCCCTGACCCCGGTCCTCAACCAGTCACAGTCTGACTGGCTCGGATCCTCCCTGTATGATCAGCTCCACCCAGACGACAAAGACAAGCTTCAGGAGCAGCTCTCCACTGCAGAGAATAACAACACAGGTATAAACACATTCTAGGAGCAGTTTCACAGTCATGAGGGAAAATGTGTGTTTCATTTTGTGAGCACAGTTCAGTGTTGTCTTTGTCCTCAAAAGGGAGGATGTTGGACTTAAAGACAGGAACAGTGAAGAAGGAAAGTCAGCAGTCATCAGCGAGGATGAGTATGGGAGCTCGTCGATCATTCATCTGCAGAATGAGGTGATTAACAGTTAATAATATAGTTTATGATTGTATTGAAATGTGTTGCAGAATGCACAGTTTCATGTGGTGTGTTGGACTGTTTGTGTTTGCAGGTGTGGCACGTGTCCAGTGGAACCAATGTCAATGAACAGATTGCAGTTTCTTAGGAACAGAAACAGGTGACCAAAAACAAAAAGATCTTCTTTTACAATCTTATTGAACTTACTGTGCAGAGAACAAGCATACCTAACATATACCAGCTGTAAATTCATATTTTCATTGTCTTTACTTCTTCAACCTAAGAAATGGTTTGGGTGCAGCCAAGGAAGGGGAACCACAGTATGTAGTGGTGCACTGCACAGGATACATCAAGTCCTGGCCCCCTGCAGGTAAAACTAGTCCTTCTCAGTCTTTAGATACATGAGCATCTGTTATATTTGCTTACTTATATGCAGAAGACCTCTTTACAATGCTTAAAAGCACAGAGCTAGATTGAAAAAAAAAACTTTAATCCTTTATATTTTGTCTTTTGTCTTTCAGGAGTATCATTAACAGATGATGAAGCAGACAATACTCAGGGGAGTCGCTACTGTCTAGTTGCTATTGGGAGATTGCAGGTACAGTGGATGTCTTGTGGTCCCATGTCTTTTGCTGTGAGGTCAAGTAAACGGGCAAATGTTTCGTTGATATCAAAGTGCAGTAACCTTTGATCCTCAAATCATCAGAACATAAATAAAATTAACTGTGCGAGTGGTGGAAGATAGATTTATGAGGTGGAAAAAGCTGCATTTTATTTTTTTATTAGTGTGTTATCTGAAGGTGATTTTGCACTAGTTAGTTGAAGTCATTGTGAAACACTGATATAATTAAGAACTTCTGCGTTTTGTTCTGTTCTTGCTAGAACAAAAACTGATCTGAAACTGAAAATGTAAAAAATCTAATCTTACTCATGCTCATTGCAACTTTGATATTATCTAAGTTTTTGTGTCTGGGTTTTTATTGCCTTTTATTTTTGACTCTTCTGCAGGTTACTTGTTGTCCTGGTGACACAGATGTGAACAGTATCAGTGTTCCTGTGGAGTTCATCTCCCGACACAACTGTCAGGGCATGTTCACTTTTGTAGATCATCGCTGCTTGCCCGCTATTGGATATCAACCCCAGGTGAACATAGCTGGCTAAAGTGCCAGGGTTGCATTGCATTTCCTCTGAAAGTCTTTATCAGAAGTTAGTTTTCATGTCCTGTAGAGTAACCACATTTTCTTTTGTTGCAGGATTTATTGGGGAAGAGTATCCTAGACTTCGCCCACCCTGAAGACCAGGGCTTACTAAGAGACAGCTTTCAACAGGTGAATTAAAAGCTCTTATTAATATATTTGTGGTTGCATTGATCCACCATTTTCCAATTCAAATATGAAACACACTTTGCCTTTGGGTGTCTGCTCATACAGAATACTAGCTCAATGGGGTATCACTGTTAGATTTATAAACTGTACTCCTGACTTTGAGAAGGAGATTGGGAATCATATTATGTTAGATGGGTGAAAAAGGGTGTTACACCAAGAACCTGGCTGTAATTGCTTTGTCACTAGCAGATTGTCGTTGCCCCTAGTTTGCATGGAGGACAGTTTTGCCACCACAGTGTTTGCAAACATCTTGGTGTTTTCCATGCACACCACTATTAGTCTAGTTATTGCAGCCTGCTAGTGACCAAAATAATTGCAAGGAGGTTGTCCGTGCATTGATGTATACCTCTTTACAACCAATTTCACTCAAGCTGTAACAAGCAATCACTTGTCAACCAGTCAAGGAATACATATTTTTTTCCCTTCAGCTACCAGTGGCTGCTACGTGGTTGCCATCTTCAGTGCAGTGTCAGTCATTCATTTGCTGAATTCTGATGTCACTGCTTGTTTTTCCCTTTCCCTACTTTCACCTGCTCTCTCGCTCGCTCTCTCTCTCTCACACACACACACACACTTCACGTTTGGCTTGCCATTAAAAGTGTAGTAATTTCAATGGATCTGATGACAGCTCCTTAGCGAGAAAGAAAAAGAGCTGCAGTCTGAGGCTTTCAGCTGTGTTTAGTCACGCTAATACAGTTTGTAGTTAAGTAAAAAAAACAACCTTTTTTAACCATATAAAGAAAAGCTGCACCTGGACTTTCATCATGGAAGTGGACATGATGAATGTCTACATGAGTCTGAGGAATAACTTAACAATAATTCTTTGTAATGCCAAATGGCTTGATGATGTTGTTTATTTTCAGATTTGTGGTGTGAATAAATGGCTACGGTTCTGTTGCGTACTGGTTTAGATATTTGCTTGGCAAGCAAAAGGTTGCTGGTTTAATTCCAGCTGGAGACACAGATACGTTTGGGTTTACATCAGGAAAGCAATCCGGCGTAAAACTGTACAAATCAAAAGTCACGATGAGGCTAATAAAAGTATCTTATAGTATAAATGAACTGCTATCAGCATGATCTTGAGCAACAGAAAACTTCGTAGAACTTTTAGCCCTGTCTAAAACCACTTGGATGTTAACTTTAAATAGTTGGATCCTTGTTTTCTTTTGTTGTATATGAGAAACACAGGTTATTTAACCTGGATGATGTTAGAGAGAGACTTCTCTTGAAAGTTTATTTGCATTTTGGTAATTTATTTCCTTAACTACATCAATTTTAATTTACATGTCTGTGTGTGGATGACAGAGGCTCAAAATGGGGGAAAGCATTGCTGCAAGAGCAATGTAGCAAAAATGGAAGATAAGATCTCAGAACATTCAAAGTTAATGGTGCAAAGTCAAACTAAAACTGAAACTGACCATACAAGTATAAACTGTCCATTTTCCACTGAAGAGCACTTGTCTGATTGTATTTGCTGCAAGAGAAAATGTTCTTTCTGCAACACCATATTCAGCAGTAGACACTGTTGTCCCATTACCTTTGTAACCCGATATCTTCCAGTCACTCAGTTTCTGTGTGTGCATGCAAGCCTCCGCTCATTGCTTATGAAAACACCACAGTATGAATGTTTGGCTTGTTGGATGTGTGTGTCCACAGGTGGTTAAGCTGAAGGGTCAGGTTCTGTCTGTGATGTTTCGATTCCGCACCAAGTCGAGAGAATTTATCTGGATGCGAACCAGCTCCTTCACTTTCCAGAACCCGTTCTCGGAGGAGATCGAGTACATCATCTGCACCAATGTCAATGTCAAGTGAGTCAAGCAGACATGATTACATAATCAGATCCAGCAAATAACGAAAGCATTGATGTTTTTCACCGTGTCTGTGAGACATTCCTCTGTGTGAATGCTTACAGTTCCTCTTACATCCACAACTACCACAGCCGCTTTTAATAAACCACAGACTCATCACTCTCTCCCAATACTTCTCCTCTGCACCCACCAATGATTGTGGGGCAGTAGAAACTCAGCTCAGGACCCCCTCACTCCCATCTCCTCCCCTGGGGCTTCGATGCCCCCTTCCCTGGGTCAGAGCAGCCCAAGTGGTCCTCCTGTAGTGCTCAGTCCGGGCCAGATGGCCACCAGGTGAGACCAGGCCTGACCTCCCTATCCTCTCCCTGCTTGGGAGAACAGGGGCTGCTTCTTCATGGGAGACTTCTGCTGTTTCTAGCAAACTATAGTTCTTCTGTTTTTGTTTTTTTTGTGTTTTTCCCTCTCTGGGTGATTCTTCCTTTCTTCATTTCTGTAGTAATGGAATAGAAGTGGTAAAATGGAGCATGTCTTATTTTATTATTCTGAGTATTAAATATACTTTAAAGAGGTGAGCTTTTGGCATAGGTGGTGTGGCATGTTAGCTGTATGTACTCACATTCTTCTCCTGACACCTTTTGTGTTCCCACGGTGGACGGTGGTTGATGGTGGTGGGCTGAGTGCTAGTTTGTCAGCAGGTGTTTGGGATTTCTAATGCAACAGTGAAGAGCATGGGTTTGTGGAAGTTATGGTATATTAGGCCGACTTCAAATAACAAACTCTCTCTTCTACTTTTTCAGACAGCTACAACAACAGCAGGCTGACCTGGAAGGACGAGATGGTCCATATGAACCAGGATCAATGACCCACCCACAGGTCAGGGAACACGACTGTACCACTTGACTGAAGCATACACGTTTCCTGTTTCTTTTGAGTTTCTTTTTATAGAAACAGTGGCAGGATGTAGATTGTTTGCTTTCCAGGAAAGCACATCCGGATGTTGGTAGAATCATCACAACTTCCTGCCTGCTATTCTTGCTTGAGTCAACTGCAGTGCTTTCTGCTGTAGTACTTAGTCATTTTTAGCAGAAATTATTTTTTTTTTAATCATGACTCATGTGAATTGTGCAGATATGTTACAGAGAAAATATTGGGGCAGTGGGAGAATATCAACTTCTCAAATGAAATGGTGTAGGTCTGAGCACAGTTTTGTGCTGCATTCTTTGTTGTTGTTTTTTGAGAAGCTACAAGGATGTTTGTTTGCATTTAGCCTGAGCTTTAACCTCCTAGTTGCAAAAAGACAGCAGTGAGCAGGACAGTGCCATAGATAGTCCAGAAAAACATAGCTGGACAAGTTGATTGGTGAAAACCACATCAACAATTTCACCTGTGAAACTATATGTGGAACGTGACATTAAAGTAAAAGTCAAATTCCTTCATCTAACCAACGGTGTGATAAGAAAATGTTTTGCAGCTGCTTCCATCCACTGCCATCTGGTTTTCAAAACAAGAGCACAACTGACTCAATAATAAGCAAACGTCAAAGCTGTCTGTAGGCAGCTTGCTATACCTGCTATATCTGTAAATTTGGAAGGTTTTCTTGTAAAGTTTGCCATTCTAGCTGTGATACCTGCAGTATGTAGGAGTGAGTTTGAAGAGAGGCACAGCATTTAGTCTGCTACATCTAATATATTTTTCTGATAAAGAAAATATTTATTTATCCCATATTTACGATTGGTCTTTTAAGTGTTTATATTTGCTTGTGCTGTTCTTGGACTTACGACAGCCATCATCAGCTAGCCACCTATATAAGCAGCACATCAGCATGTGGTGATGGGCGTGTAGTTTCTATGTCTCAGTAAGTTTGTGCGTATTTTCAGTGTCTGACAAGTGGAAATAATTGATTACAGAAACCATTAAGAATTGCATTGATAGTAAACCTCGGGACATTCTTATTAGATGGGCTACATCATAAAACACCAGTGGCAGAAATCACCCAAAAAGCGCTGGATTTTCTGTATATGCCAAACAAAAGCCTTGCACTTTTTTTCTTTTTTTTTCTAAGCCATTTCTAAACCAGGGAGTGTTGTCTAATTGACATGTGAGATATGAGGAAGTTTGCTGCTCTTTACAGTGCAGTTTCCTTATTTTTTCATTAGCAATTCATACCTCTGTTTATACATTAGATCAGTTTTCATTCAAACTCACAACTAAAAGGAATTAATTTAGTTATCATGTAACCTCTTAATCTTTGGTTATGAAAACGGCAATAGGTAAAACATAACACAATTTATGAATCAGAAATAAGGTGAACTACAAGCAAGATAGCCAATGGTGGTAAAGTAAAGCAACTATTAGCAATAAACTGGATTCCAACTCTGGGTCCCTCATAACTTTTAGGCTTTTCAGTCAATTTAGTGCCAAAGCTGTGAAAGCTAAACTGACTGCAGGATAGAAAAATGGCGCAGCAGATGCACAATTGCAATTAGAAGTAAAGTATCCACAGGGAGCAGCGAGAACATGTCAATATTTGCTTATTCTTAGATCTGACCAAATGGTGGAAGCAGTGGCGTCAGTTAAACTGTAACTGCCATGGAAAGCTGCCAGTAGCGGTTACTAGGGCAACAGAGTATTCACAACCGACAGTGGTACACGCAAATGTTTATTAGATGGTCCATGTTCACAAGCAGCTGTTTTTGTGTTGGCAGCAGCAGTTTTTACATCACCCTCAGTGTGCAGTTTTACAGACTTGCAGACTTGCAGCACGGGCCAGTCGTTCACCTCACTTACTGAACGTGTGTAGATTAACAACATATGAACATATAAAAGAAAAACAGTTCAGTCATAACATTTTAGTTGGCTTTACTGATACCGTTTGTATTGTGTGGGACATTTTTGCTAGTTTTAACGTCCTTAATGTTTTTTGTTGTCCTCATGCTACTGTGAACAGAGGCTGGTCTGTTTCAAACCAGACCTTTAACTTGCCCAGCACTGCAGGCATCAGTTATTTTCATTATTGATCACCAGAATGTTTACAGTTTATGTTTTGAGCCTGCTCTTCTTTAGTGTAACTCTAGACTCACGCCTTTTTTTCTTTTTTTGGGGGTTGGCTTCAGATGCAGCCAGTCACTGCAGCAGGGCCGGACCACAGCAAGAGCATTGAGAAACCGGAACTCTACCCTTCGCTTTTCCAAGGGCAAGATCAGACCAAAGGCCTTCCTTCCTCCACCCCTACTCCATCCACCCAGATCTACGCCCCAAACAACAACTTTGCTGCTGGTCGTTCCAGCGATGCATACAGGTAGCAAGTGTTCTGTGTCCGTATGTGTACCTTAGTCATTGTGAGGGCTGCTCAGTGTTTGTGTGCTGTTGCTTGTGAATATATTTACTCTTAGACATTTAATTTCAGTTACTTAGAAGTGCATAGCTATTTCCCCCATAAACAAGCACTTTTGTAGCTTCGTTTAGTTGATATAGGACTAAATTAGGTTTTATTATCACCTTGGGATGATGTAAAGTTAATGCTGTGAACCTTACTGTAGTAAAAATTTAGAAATGTTTATTATCTACCGACTGGAGGCAAGGAGAAAAACTCCCAGTTACTAAGTTGTAAATCTTCCACTGTGTCTGGAAATCGGGTAATAAAAGCTTTAAGTTGATGCAGAAGATGCCTGGCAAAGATTATAGGTCCCTTCAAAATCTGCTCTTCAAAGCACAGACTGAAGTAGCTATACTCCCTGTTCTCCTGACTTTAAAATTTGCTATACTTTTTTGTTGTTGTTGTTGTTGTTGTTGTAAATGTTTGTCATGTCTTATTTAGTAGATTTCCAATCACATTGAATCAATCATAACATAAAAGATAACTTGTATATCATGTCCTAACAAAGTACTGTGTGTATATATGGCCTTAGAAGTGGGTCAGCATGAATACAGCACCTGCAACAGCAAGACCGAACTGAACTACAATCAGAAAGTCAGATGATGGAATACCATTAAAAGCTTTTCTAACATTTTTAGTTTCATCCCATCATCAAACTAGCAAAATTACCTTTAGTGCAAATCCGTTATCACTCATTGTATTCCCGAGAGTTGGGAGTGTCATAAACAGTAAAAGGAATGCTTATGACCGGCAGTAGATGCAAGAAGATGTCACTAATGCGTCTTTTCCCTTTGCACCTACTCGACTCTTCTCTTCTCCGTTTTAGTCGTTTTCCAATACAGTTGAGTACCACATTACAATTGTGGTTGTTATAGCAAGGGAACCTGAAATTCCTGTCATGTCATTTATATGAGACGCAACACAACAATGGAGGGCATGGAGGCAATGGTATAAATGCTGCTCGGTCTGTGGCTTTTTGTCAGTCTCCGGGTAAAAGAAGAGAGCCAAAAAGCATGTGTGGCCATGTCCCTCGCTGCTGGTTGTTTTGTTTTTTGTTTTTTTTAAATGCCCGGTTTTATTCTTGTTCCACTCTCATGCCCCATCCAATGGCATCATACCTGGTACCGGATACTACCCCCTAATGGAAAAAAAATCCTAAAAATCAATTGGAATTATATCGAGCCAAGCAGGTGCTAGTGGAAAAGAGCCTTAACAGCAACCTCTGTGGTTAGCACGCCTTCTTATAATGTTTGCCACTAACCTTTGCAGACTCTCAGCAAATACGTTTTCTTTCCCTTTTAGAAGCTTTAAAAAAAATTGTTTGCCAAATCCAACACTGGCAAAAAGTGGAAATGAAGCAGTGAAATGTTGACATGCAGTGATGTTGTCAGGAATTATTGTCCATCAAATGTATTTGCGTCACAATATTGGCGAGACAATGCCACCAAAACACTTACACATCTGAAACCTGTCTCCACAGAGATTATGACAGAATGTTGGGCTCTGATCTGATTTTTATCCCTATGCATGTTGTCACTTTTCTCCATAGACCAGTCAATATGAATCCACAGATACCGCAGCCCACCCACTCGGCCTCAGCAGGACAGATCTTGGCTCAGATTTCTCGTCAGAACGTAGCCCCACAGCAAGTTAACCAATCCAGTACGACAAGCCCCCTCCATGGAGGCCCAACAGGCGGGTGGCCTGGGGCTGGACCTGCAGCCAGACCGCAATTTAATAACCAGGTAAACTAGTATAACCAAATTGTGTGATTGTGTTTGATGGCATTTTTAGTCATTTTATATTCACAAAAAAAGACACTATAAGGAATATGTTTACATGCCTGCTTGGTTATTGATCACATCATACTACCTAAGGGCTAGTAAATTAAGAAATCTCTGTTACTTTTCTACCCAGCAGGTGGCTCCCCAGGCGGCAAAGACCATGTCGCCACAATTTACTCCCATGGGAGGGTTTGTAGGCGGCCCTACCAACACTTTTGGCCAGATGCCAACAGGTGCTGCTCCCATGCCTACAGGTGCTGCTCCCACCGCCACCAGCGGCACAAACTACTCGCAAATGAATGCTCGTGCAAGCCTCAACAACAACGGTTTTGGTAGGTTGTGTGTATATTGTGTGTGGGGGTTTTTCTTCTTCTTTTTTTCGTCTTCTTCTTTGTCTTTAGTTGTACTGGTCTATAGTCTCAATCTCTTCTGCACTCCTGTCCCAGATGGCTCTCAGTCTGGGGCACAGTTCCCTCCTCGAGCAGCAGAGGCAGTGTGGCCCCAGTGGCAAGGTCAGCAGCATTCACAGAGTAATTCAGAGCAGGGCAACCAGCAAGACATCTTTCCTGTGAGTGACACAAGCTCATTCAGTTTTAGATGTTGTTTTACTTTTCTATTCTATGTCACATTAAATAAATCTGTTTCTTTTATTTGACTCAGGATGTGTTGTCTATGTTGGACCAGCCTGCCAACTTCAGCAACGAGGACTTTGAGATTCCTATGTACACGCCATTTAACGAGTGACCTGGAAATACTTCTGTCGTCTTGCCTAAATCACGGTTTCTTATATTTAGCTCTTCTCCTCGTCTGTTCTTTCTGCTCTTCCCCTTCTTTGCATGGCTTCAACTGCACAGCTACAAGACAGTTAAGGATGGAGGGATAAAGTTGAATGCAGGGGAATGGGAGAAAAATCAAGAATTTGCTACTGACTAAAAGATTATTTTAACAATATACCGCCATTGTAAGAGAATTTTCTAGCTAGCACTGCCCAAAGCTCAACAACCCATGTTGTAGATATGTGATATACAGTATATATGTTCATATATATATATATAAAAAATATATATATAAATATAAAAACGCACAATCCCACAACCACACTTGAATAGACTGCACAAAACACCCTCCTAACTCTGGTAAATGGAAATGAAAACGGAAGTAAACACACACTTGCACACAAAGGCCTTTTATTCTAATATATTCATGTTTTTTCTCAGGCATTTTTTAAGAGTGTGTTTTGCTGTTTTAGCCTTTGGCGTGTCGACTAATCACTCCAGTCACTGATTTAAACTCTTGGGAAATTGCAGGGATATACAGCTTTGATGATTTTATTATTATTTTTTTCTCCTTTCTTTCTCAATTCTCAGCTGTTGCACGCTAACCACACTCTGTTTCCTATCCACAGCATGTCTCTGCATGACTGAACTGTCCATAGCACAGATTTTTATCAAGTAGTTTTCCATGTACAAATGTGGCCTCCCCTGTGAATTCATTTGTTTTCCCCCTTTTTGTGAAACATGCAAGCATTTTTTTTTGTGATGTACTTCAACACACCTTAAAATGACTTATATACATTTTCTTTTCTTATAAGGTGTCCATTTGAAATGTAAACAATCTATTTTTTGTTGCATACATAGACATAAATACAATATACATGTGTTAATGTTTGTAAAATGGATGCATACAGTATCATAATCAACTCAAGCTTATTGGGTTTCTGCCTTGCTTAATTTGCTTCTTTCTGCTACCCTGATTACCCTTTAATTACAGGCTTTTGTACGTATTTTATAAGAGAAATATTAAATAAAAAAAATCACACAGCAATAATTAACAAGCAGGAATTGTGTAATTTTCAAGCCATTCTTTATCATTGTTATAAATGTTTCCTTTAAATGTTTTGAAATGGAGACGTGTGATTTTTAATTGAAATGTCTCCAAAGTATTATATTGTTTGAACTCTTGATCTATCCATTAACCGTTCTCTGACTGGTATTTTACTAATGGTTTAATCAGGGTATTCAGGATTAAAATGGAATCAACAGAGACAAAACTGGTATGATATTCAGTGAGAATGTCCATGTATGTGTATTTTTTTAACAGTGTTTTGTCCTGTCCTGTTGTTTGTTAGACTTGGACTGAGTCTGTTTTTTGGCGATTTTGCATTCTAGCAGAATGTCTCGCAATGAACGGCTGTGCTTCTAAGATGATTTAAGTTTTAAGATGTGGAGTTTAAAGTTGACCCCTGATGTTATCTTCTCTTTTCTGTGTGTAGCATACACACATTCATGATAACAGATTATGTCAATGTATGTAAACTCATGTAGATAACGCCCAGGCTTCATCTTCCAGAGGATGCTATGCTGTTGGTGACTGTGTTGTCTTCGTTATTGATGAAAATCTCATTGGTTACTCTGTATCCAGTTTTGTTTCTTTCTTTTTCTTCCCTCACTCATAGAAACACACATATATAAATATACTGTAGAGGTATATGAAATTTTAAATGAGAGAGATATGTTTTGTTTTTTGTATTAAATTGTTACAATGTCCAAAATGAAAGTGTTTTATTGTACTGGGTTTGAATTTTATTATGTTTTTCAGCTCCAGGTTTTTATTCTTTACTAAAGTGACTTATCCTTATTCATAGTTCAGTATAATCTTTATTTTATATAAGTTCACTGCATGAGATAAGCTCTCTCTTGCTTAATTTTTTGTTAATTAGCAGTATTTTCTTATTATAAAAAGATATACTGTAGTAAATTTTGCATCTGTGTACTGCCACAGTCAATGTTAAATGTATTATTCAGGATTGTGCAGACTCAAGTTTGCATTTGCAGGCATTTTAATTGCACGAGCAAACCATAATTTTAACTTCGTGGATTGTTTTAGTATTTTAATGTGATGAAATTCATTTGCAGTCTTTGAAGATGCTAACTAGCCTTCAGGTGCTGCTTTTTTGTGGGTCTCTCTGCCTTTAGCTTTGAGTTCAGTAACTAAAAGCTACTGTGTTAGGTTGAGATCAGGTGACTGACTTGGCCTTTGAAGAATATCTAATTTCTTTGCTTTGAGAATCTCTTGGGTTCCTTTTGCAGTTTTCTTTGAGTCATTTTACCTGTGCAATGCTGTCTGTTCAGTTTTCCAGCATTTGGATGAGTCCGAGCAGCACTTCAGAATTCATCTTTCCACTTCCATCAGCAGTCACATCAATAAACAGGTATGTGGCCCGATTCTGTCTATCCACAATGCCAGATAGGACACACCTTGATTTCCCATTTTTTGACCAGGATGTCTTTATAAATATTTATCACTGCTTTCTTTAATCTGTGCAATTAATTAATTTTATCAGATGTGCTCAAAACTCCAGGAAAAGCCTTTAGTTGATGTAAAATGTTTCTACAAGAGTACTACTAAAATATTTTTCCCATATTGGCTTCTCTTTATTGGCTCCCTGTTAAACCCATCACATTTAAAATATTTCTCCTCACATACAAGGTTTTGAATAATCAGGCCCATCTTATCCTAATGACCTCATAGTACCGTATCACTCCTTTAGAGCACTTCACTCTAAGACTGCAGGCCTACTACAAGTAGAATATTTTCCTATAATATTTAAAAGTAGAATGGGAGTCAGAGCCTTCAGCTTTCAGGACCCTCTTCTGTGGAACCAGCTCCCAGTTTGGATTTGGGAGACAGCGTCTACTTTTAAGATCAGGCTTAAAACGTTACTTTTTGATAAAGCATATAGTTGGGACTAGATCAGGTAGTACTTCTTCTTCACTCACCTCATTCTTCAACCACTGTGTTTATACATCAGTCTGCATTTAGTTATCATTAATCTCATGCTGTCATCCACAGCATGTCTTTATGTTGTCTTCCTTCCCTCACCCGAAACTGGCCAAGGCAGATGGCCGCCCCTCCCTGAGCCTGGTTCTGCTGGATGTTTCTTCCTGTTAAAAGGGAGTTTTTCCTTCCCACTTTCACCAAGTGCATGCTCATCTGATGGTGGGGATCGTCTCTGTTTTCTCTGTATTACTGTAGGGTCTTTAACTTACAATATAACATGCCTTGAGGTAACTGTTATTGTGATTTGGTGCTATATAAATAAAACTGAACTGAATTAAAGTGCTTAGAGTGGTCAGTAACACTACAAAAGCACTAAGTAAATCTAAGTTAGTGTTATCACTGTATTACACTAACTTCCTTGAGTGTGTTCTTGATTAGATCATATAAAGTGTTTTTTCTTATCTACGGAAATCATTCTGTCGTCGTGTACTTCAGTTGCCTGCTGTGTCTTTCGGGCCTTTTGGTGTTGCTGAGCTGGTCAGTACATTCCTTCTTTTTAACCAGATGATGCTGATTTGGCCACTCCTAAAGTTTTTGCTCTGTCTCAGGTAGGTTTATTTGGGGTTTTCAGCCTCTTGTTATCCTTCATTTGCACCCACATCTAGTAGTGTCTGTAGCTCAGAAGGTCATTTATTAGTCGGCCTGAGGTTGGTTGGTGGTTCAATCCAGGTGTGCATGCCAAAGTATTCCTGAGCAAGATACTGAAACCCAGCTTGCGGTACAATGGGTACATTGGAGTGTGCTTGTTAGCTAGAAATCACCTACTTAGGTAGGGAAAAAGTGCTTTTATGAATAGGTGAATGAGGCATGTCGTATAAAACACTTGCTCAAGTGCTTGAGTAGAAAGGTGCCATATAAGAACCATTTTCCATTTCTTTAAACCTCATATTGAGGGTTATTGTAAAAAGCAACCAAATGCAAGATCATCACTTTGATCTTTCTATCTGCTTCATTTGTCATGGAAACAGGCCTCACCTGATCATGAGACTGTGTATCAGTCAGTTATCCAATTACTTTTGAGCCTCTGAAAATGGGGGATTGTGTATAAAAAGGACTGTAATTCCAAAATATTTAATGTAATGCTATTTCATTTGTTGATGTCTGCAAGTACATCACTTGATTTAAAATGTACCGTGATGCTGCACAGAGGCAAAAGTACTATGTGACTGTCCAAATAATCCTGGGGGTTACTGTATTTCCACAGTTTATGGCATTGGTCAATTCACACAGCAGTCCCTGTTGTAGTTACATCCATCCTTGCTTGAGCTTCCTTTAAACAATTTTGTGTTCGTATTTGCAGGAAAAACAAAAACCACGTTTGCCCGGATTGTATCCCGTTTCTTTCGCCTTTCTGTTTATGAGTGAAGACTGAGATATCTGCAGGTATCTCCTGGGATCAGTTTCCACCTTCGTCCTTCCCTCCTCTCTTTCACAGGCTGGGGGTGAAAACGGATGGTAGCAATGCTACAACTCTTCTAAGAGAGGTTTACTGTGTCACCTCTTCAGTCTTTGGGTTGCACTTGAGTGACAGCATGTGCTGTAAATCTTGTTTTTCCAGTATCGTTTCAACAAATTCACCTCCTCATCAGACTTTTTAGTTGGATTCGCTGCTATTTACGTAGAGTCACTTTACTCGTTGTGTGTTTGTGTGTCTGTTAGTGGCATCAGAATACAAGCAATCTGCATTTTTTTTTGGTCAGGATCAAATTCCAAACCCTCTCAAGTGGATTGCCACTAAGGCATCATATCCTCTTTCTCCTCCTCAACCCTTTTTCCCTCCCTTTTCTTGACCATCTTGTGCTCTCATCTTTCTGCCTCTTTCAGGCCATAAAGTGGCCCAAACGTCATGCTGCTGTGCAGGGGCACGTGGCACAGCAGATTGGAGGATTTCAATCTGCTCACTTCACTTGAGCAAGATTAAAAGAAAACAAAACAAAACTGTGTACAGCCACAATTTCTTCCTTGTTGTCATCTATCTACACCTTGCGCTGAGAACTGAGATCCTACTCGGGTGTAATCTCCTGTAAAGGCCTCATGTCCTAAAGAGATGCCTGGGTGTCCTAATCTCAGGAACGGCCTGATTGTTACCAAACTCCTTATTAACTATGCATAGAGGACACGGTAGCCAAATGGAGCTCCGTGTGTCCATCAGTAAATCTTATCTTCGGGACGAGGACGTTAGGTGTCAGCGCAGAGAGGAAAATCAGCCAAGACAGAAGAAGAGTTGGATGATACGTGACGAACTGAAGGAGGCACTTTTATCGAAACCTACAGATGAGAAGAGAACTGTGAAGCAGATAAACTTTGGATTTATTTGGATATTTCAACATGGACCCTCCAGCCCTCCCTGT